CTGTTTAAGCTGCAGTAACTTTTCTGACTATGGATCATCGTTCCTTCTGTGGCAGATTTTTACAGTTCCTCTAATGCATTTGGGACGACTGTCTCAAAGTAACCTGCAAATTTCCTGACAACTCCTCGCTCTCTCTCCTGCTAAGAACTGTAGCCTGTTGAATAATACAGGATAAAAAAATTATTACACTCAGTGAACAGTTCCACATATTCTTTATCATCATGATAAAAATTTAAAGATACCTACCCTTTTCTGTTGTTTTTTAAAACCTTCTGCTACCATATCCACCACTTCCACCACCAGATCCATAACCACCTGGAAATAATAGGTGCAGAATTTTCAAAAATGCGTAATTTTAAACTGAAATAAATAGAAAAAAATTGACTAAAGAAATTACTTACCACCATAGGGACTGCCAGAGCTTCTTCCACCAAAACTGCCCCCCTTCATGGGTCCATAATTTGACTGTTGCTGTCCACTATAATTTCCAAAATCATTATAGTTCCCACCACCACCATAGTTACCTGAAATTAACAGAAATTTTGTGGTTTATTTGCAGTTACTATTTTGTTTTCATTTGTACAACTACTATTCTGTTGATGACAGTGGCACCATGTTTTCTAACACTTCCATGTGACTTTGAAGAGAGATCTCAAAGCCACTGAACTCCCTCTACTGAACAGAGGCCCAACTGCCTTAAGATGCACGGAGAACAGGAAACAAAAGTGGAAGATTGCCAAAAGCATTTTCTACATAACTGTTGGGGAGCCAAGGATGCAGCTCAGCAGCACAGGGCCTGCCTGTCACATGTGACGTATGAATTCTATTCTCAGTACCAAAAAAAGCTTTTTAGACAGACATCATGGTATCTGAAGAACACCAGTTGATGTGAAGCTGTACCCTACGCATTTGTTCTCATTCCACTAACACCATCAAAATTGTGAAATGTTTAATTCACTGATTCCAAAATACCCGCAAGTAGTAGCTCAGGTTTGCAATCTGCAACCTGGCACATTGTTAACTTAAGACTTCAGATGGTACCATATTCAACAAGTATTACAACAATTTTCAAATCCCATTTGTGTACTTTGTAAGTATGTTAACAAGTAAAATCCTGCCAATAAATATAAAAGCATAAATACCCATTTTACTAACCCCCCCAATAGAATTTAATACATTAATTTACTAAATAGCAAAAAAATGAATTTATCTCATTTGGGTGGTTTAATGCTACAGAAAAAACAAATGTCAATTTAAAAAACACTGTAATAAAATTATAAATGCCAAATAGAAAACAAAGCAAACTTACCACCACCAAAATTTCCTCCTTCGTTGTAACCACCATATCCTCCTCCACCACCACCGTATCCACCACCTTGGTTTCCATATCCTGGTCCACCACCACCATACCCTCCTCTACTACTATAACCAGGACCACCACCACCATACCCTCCTCTACTACTATAACCAGGACCACCACCATAGTTTCCACCTAGAAAGATAAGGCAGGATTAAATAAAAAATTAGAAATGGATAGAAGATGGGCCGGGGAGATAGCTCAGTAGAATAAGCGCTTGCCTGGCAAGCACAAGGGCCTGAGTTCAATCCCCGGTTCAACCGGAAAAAAAAAAAAGAAATGGATAGAAGACCAAGATCTTGCTTCTGGGCCAGGGACACAGCTAAGTAGAATAAGCACTTTGCTGGCAAGTGCAAGCCTGAGCTTGTTCAATCCCCGGCACCGGAAAAAAAAAAAAAAAAAAAAGAAGCAATATGGGAAACATTCACTACACACTGATCTTGTGAGGAATGTGAAAGAATACACATAAAAAAAAAAAAAAAATTCTTGATTCTGATCTTGTTACATCAAAAGCACTGTCAAACAAACCAATTAAATGACTTAACGTTAGCATCTGCTAATATATCATTAATAGGACACAGAATCTGGGCCAGAAAGAAATTTTTTGTCTTTTTGAGACAGGGTCCTACTCTAATTCAGTACAGGCTTGAACTGGGCAGAGAACCTCTTCCCCTCAACAAGTGCTGGGACCTCAGGTGTTCACCATCACACTGAGTAGGGCTGGTAAAAACCTCAAAGTCAGTCTTATCTTTTCAAAATTATCGCCAAAGAAAATTAGAACACTTCTAGTTTCACTTTTCATACATCAAATCTTTCTGTTGAAAAAAACTAGTTAACATTCTATCTCTGAAGTTTGCATATTCTCTTATGGTACTAGCTTAAGTATACTTTTATTGTCAACACATTACAGTTGGCCAAAGTTGGAACATAAGTCAATTTTCAGTAAGATACAAAAACAAGGTCAAAATAAATCACTTAATGAGAAAACTTACCATCACCTCCAAATCCATTATATCCACCATCACCTCCTCCATAACTACCTCTGCTGCCACCTCCTCCACCACCGTAACCTCCTAAGGAAATCCAAGGTATGAGTCAGAAATATATGTATTCAGCTTGCCATTAAACATCAGATACATGTATACTTAAGACTTACTTAGCACATCTTACCTCTTCCACCAAAGTTTCCACCACGGCCAAAATTCCCTCCACCACCTCCAAAGTTTCCTCCACGACCCATAAAGTTGCCAGATCCACCTCCACGGCCTTTAAAAACGAAGGCAAGACTTAAGAACATTCCCAACACTACTTCCATGTACTGTGCATGTGTATATAACCCTACTCACCTCTTTGCGATCCAGCAGACTGCATCTCTTGTTTAGAAAGGGCCTTTTTCACTTCACAATTATGCCCATTAATAGTGTGGTATTTCTGAACTACATTTTTTTTAATCAAACAAACAAAAAAAGTTATTTTATGTTTGGATAAGCACACATAAATGTTATCCTGTCATTATACAACTTGTAAAGCACTTTCAAGAAGGCAGCTGAGTCTGAATGGGGATGAGGGAGTATTTCTTCATCCAGATGCTGGTATAGAAACAGGTGTAGATGCTTTGAAAACAGAACTACACAGCACAGGATATCAAACATAACAAAATCATGAGCAATATAGCAAATTCTATTCAAAACAAAAGCCAGCTGTTTCCTCACTCAAGTTCCTAAGAATTGTTACTTACCAACAATTTTATCAACTGTGTCGTGATCATCGAAAGTTACAAAAGCAAATCCTCTCTTTTTCCCACTCTGCCTGTCTTCCATAACTTCTATGGTTTCAATCTTGCCATATTTTTCAAAGTAGTCTCTCAAATTATATTCTTCTGTATCTTCTTTAAT